ATAGTGCTGTATTACTAACTGGTCATCGGCTTTACCCAAAGGATAGGATGCCTGCTTATTTGATTGCTGAAATCTAGCCCCGGAAGAGCTGAACATAATCCAGTTGATTGTGACCAAAGTTGAAATTGGCCTGAAGTGCTTCCCAGAGTTTTATTTGTGATAGCTTTGGTTCTTCATACAACATAACTCATTCGGTAACCAATCCGTTCCGTCCAAAGCAAGTTTCATTATCATTATTCAGCTGTTTAGTAAATGAGAGCTGTTTGTGCTTAATGCATAACATTTCACGTTTAACTACCCTAAGGGCTTTACCAAGCCTTAAGATAGAGAGAGAAAATTTCAGTCTGCATGAAAAGTACAACAGAATTTGGAATAGTGATTTAGTTCGATCACTCCTTTTATAGGAAAGGCATGTCGAGTAAAGATTATGGGTTTTGACGGTTGCGTAAATGTTAAAACAAATAATTCTGGAGCGTATACAAACTCAGTCACGGAAACATATAATATTGATTTTGAGCAATGGACAATTTGAAAATTAAAAATATTTTTTCACTTCCTTTTTATCCAATGCCTATAACAAATTTACGGTCAAATTTCCAAAACGGTGCCACGGGTTGGGTAAATTACAAATGGAGATGAGGTTGGTCANACTATCTGGCCACCGAGTCGAGTTACAATGCTGAACGAGTAACATACATGATTTTAGCTAGATTAGTCCACTCATTTTGGGCATTTCAAATAAAAAATCTCGTCTATTTGGTATTAGTACACAAGTGAGTTTAGTTCCGTGTAGCTGATCTGAAACAAATTAAACTTACTGGTCACAATTACTTCATTTTACCTAAGGCTCGTCGTAAGATGGAGCTTTGAACTTGTGATTATTTATTACTGACCGAGTCATGATTGCATTCAGNNAGCCTGCAGCTAGGCAATTGACATGTAAAGGAAATTTGAGGAAGACAAAAACATGCTGTGGAAATCTTTGTGATAACTGACAAATAGCACTGAACAGCTGTTTCACCCGCTGACTCGTCAGCAATGCGTACTTTTTGTGTCCCTGTCAGGACTCGAATTGCGAACATTCGGGTTGGGACTTAAAACCTTTACCTCTGAGCTACACGGTCGACGGTCATTACCTTTTGCGAGCGGCTCAATCAATTTTAGAGTAACAAGCTTGGGGATTAACCCATTCGATTGTTCAGAGGCACCAGGCACCCTTGATGGTCTTCGGTGTGGGTTTCACCGCTTGGAAGATCGTTAATTCCCAACAATTTCATGTATTTACATACGATGGAAATGTTTGTGATAAATAAGCTTGCTACTCTAAAATTGATTGAGCCGTTCGCAAAAGATGATAACCGTCAACCGTGTAGCACTGGGGTAAAGGTTTGAAGTCTCAACCCGAATGTTTGCGGTTCCAGTCCTGTCAGGGACACAAAACGTACGCACTGCTAACGAGTCCCAAACAGAACGAAACAGCTGTCCAAAGCGCTTTGTCGGTTATCACAAACATTTCCATCGCACGTAAATGCATGAATCTGTGGTGAATTAACGACCTCTCAAGGAATGAAACCCACACCCAAAACCATCAAGGGTGCCTGGTGCCTCTTAACAATCGAATCGGCTAATCCAAGCTTGATACCTTCAAAAAAATCTGTTTCAATTCTACATCCTTGACATGTCGAGACTGTCGAGTGACTGTCGTGACTGTCGAGTTCACTTGGTGTCCGTATGATGTGTGCAAAATAGACAATTTTTCATTTGTCAATTCCCAAAGTTGATTAGAAATGTCTTAGAGGACGCATACTGAGACGGAAACAAATCTCAGGAAAACCAACAGATGTTTCTCTCCAAACTGAAAGCGGGATCAACGAAAGACGAACTAAGGAGTAATGTGTCTATCTGTCGCACGAATAAAGCAATCAACGTTACGCAGATGATCGGTATTCGTTGCCTTTTTAATCACTTCAAGGTGTAAATCTTTATTGTGTATGTAAGTTTCCATACAAATCTTCGCTTTGAAAAGAGCATAGTCAGATTTAATCAGATTGGTCGAAGGATTTCATTTGTGGACCTCATTGTACCACTTGGTGTGCTACTGCAGTTCCATTCCTGTAGGGATCCTGTTCTAAACGTTTGAATAGTCAACGAATCGTGTTTTGTTAGATGGTCCGACAAAATGATATTTAGACCACAGTTCGGACACGCCATTCCGAGTCGCGATAAGCAATGATCTCTTGGAGGGGGTAACTTTTTTAATGTTTCTACATAAAAAATTGTTTGAAGTCTTTTATTCCGTCTTATAAAGCGAATATACATCCACGGTGGCGGAAATTATTTTTCTTCTAATCTTTTCAGCTCATCCTGAGATTGAATACGACAAATTGTTGTACCGGTCGTTGAGCGCAACTGGACAGGGGTTTCGATTATGTCAGGATCCCCGGAGTGGTAGTCGTCCCTCTCGAGCCTGAGTTACACGATCGATCACCAACAAATACTTTAGGCATATAACAGACTCATTGGATCGGATAGTCCATCTGACGTCGCAGGCATTCTTTAGTTTCGATTGTTGCGTCAGCTCTTCTGTGAAATGTTTGCCAATTCACCTCGTGATTGTATTTACAATTTAACAAAATGCACACAGTATTCGACTATGGACTGGACGGTGTTTGTAGGGGTCTCACATCAAGATACATCGAAAAATCTATTCTTCGTATTTACTGAACATGCAAACGAAACAATCTTTGTTGGTGTCTTTAAACACAGGTGCAACAGTCGACAATGATGAAATGCAACGCGGTCATTCACTTGGTCAAGGTACTTTATCCAATACCGATTATTGCTGTTCAAACGTGAACGAATAAACAGTTGGGGTGTAGTTTAGAGCTAGTTTACTTTGAGACTGGACGCCCGTCTCCAGACATGAGGTGTTCATCCACGTAGGCTCACGATAGTCATGGTTAGGTAGTCTAGGTTGCTGTTACTCTCGTACTTTGGGCCCTAGGTTTCAAGATTCCGACTCCGATACAAGAACTCATTTTTTTATGTTTGACAGATCTGCTATCGTTTCGTTGTTTATGCTTTTAGAGTCTGATGTGGTTTGTTACTGAAATCCCAAGAATTCTTGTTTCCGAACATCTTCAAGGATCAGTAAATCATCGCAATTCTGGGATGTACCCCTTCCACTGTTTATCAAACAATGGTGTCTGCGACTGAGAAGACAGACCGAAACCTTATTTCAGGTTCAATCAAGCACGTTTCATTGTATAATTGCTGGATCGTATGGTGCTAGGGCAACGTAACTTGTTTGCGGATGAGCTCATTGCTCGTTTCCAGAGCCCCGAGTCTTATCTTCACAAGCTTATTTTGCTGTCAGTTGCCCGCTAAAAATTACCCCTGCTTTCGATGCCTAGGATGTAGAAGTATATTGTCATTATTATTATCATCGTTTAAAATATGTTGCAAGCTCCATCTACTGTTCTAATTGTAACTTTAAAAACATTCACCATTACTTTATATTTGCAGAACTATTTCCACCAACTCTTGACTACGGCACACATTTGACGTTTTCCCCAAAATGTTCAGTACAAATTATTCTGAAGACTCAGTAGTCCGAGTTGTGAATGGTTTAAAACCCTAATTTCGTTGCATGGATTTCTAGCTTATTGCGTGTTGCCAGAGCTCCAAAAATCAGCCTCAGAAATGAGCAGGAGGTGGGCAGGAAGGGAGGGGGTGGGTGGGATCTGGTACGAATACTTTTGTCGGTGATGTGAAATAATCGTGAGAACGTTCGATCTAAACGGAGTCCACAACGGTGCAACCGATACGAGCAAAACCAAAAGAATCACTTAGCGGTTCGTTAATACAACGGATTATTAACTCCGCATGTAGGACAAAACATGTCAGCCAATATGTCGGTCCAACTGATCACGTGCGGATCCATTTTTACGTCTGGGCAACCCGTATCTATATCAAGAATAGTCTGTTCGTTTTCTTTGACTGTTTCAAGTCCAACTGACTGTTATAAGTCGAATTGTGTCCGAATTTACCGCAGTGACATGCACATACCGCTTGAAATTAGTTCTCGAATTAAACGCACATTAGTCGAACGTTTTTCATTCAAGAATCGTAGACAACCACCAGTGAACTTCCAGTTGTGAGTGCATGTGTCTCCCTCAATATTTCACCTCAGCTTTGTGCCAGCGGAATTTGCCACTACTTCAGGTGGAAAATACAGCAACTCCGACACGAGTAGCATGACGCCTGATCAATGTACACACAACACATACCTGAGTAACGTTCGACAGAATGCGTTCATGGGAGCGCGAGTGTACACGTTCCAAATGTTTGGTCCATTGGATTCACTCAGTGTTTGTGTGTGTGTCCCAGTTGTTGGACATGTGAAACAGTACGGTTGACACGTGATCAGAATTCCGAACCCTTTGGATGTGTTGAGCTACCGGGCTAGAGAAGAATGCTCGCAGGCCATGGCATTGCCATAGGATATGGGCTTAAGTCATGTGATTTGATTTGCGAATAACAGGTTTGTACGAATTTACTTTTGAGAAGAATTCAGTGGTAATTTGGAGGGAAAAATGAGCTGTCAGAACTCAGTGATATGCTGCAGATTGTTGCTGTCTATTTTTAGTCGGTGTGTACGTGTGTACGTATCTGGTTAATCGAGACGGCGATACGGAATCGGACATATCGAGATGTTGGATTTTGATGACAAAGATTGTGACTTTTCACTGGTTCCCTGTGATCATGCATGGTCCTTTTTGAATCAAGTGATTCTATATTATACGGTTGATATCTCCCTTAGTAACCAGAACCCTCTTACTTTCTTTACATTGATCCCGACTGTAGGAATATCTTTTCCAAAGAGAGCTTGTACTCCACCTGCTGAGTGACAAGCTTAACTCTGATGAGTTCAAAACTCAATAAGATTCAAAGTTGACATGGAAAAACACACGGGTTGAGATATATTGAGCACAACTTACCAAACACATTTTGTGGCCACAAATCAGCCCCGAAATAGGCCGAATGATGCAGTCCTGTAGAGGCAAACTGATCTGAATTACGTGACTGTGTAGCTGCGGAGTCTTCCAGAATACGATTCATCCATCTGAAGGCATCACAGTTGAGCATAGATCCTAAATGGGGCATTGTTTCTTCCACAATGGCGTACATTCCACTTGTCATGGTGTGGATCTTAAAAACGGGTTCGCGAACTGTGTCCTTGTTTGTCCGTGTATATTTTCGGATGACCAGGCACGTTCGCACTCCCGCGCAGATATGTCCGAGCAAGTGTGTGTGTGTGTGTATGCGTGTTTCAGGGGTTGGGGTGGGGGTTGTTCGCGCGTGCGGTTTTCGCAGCGTTTAACAACAACACCGGAGGGGAGACAGACAGAGGACACAAAAACCACAGTATTCCCTATCCTTCTGTCTTTTGTTGTAGCGCCCAAAGATGCACTGTCAGATCTCTCTCTCTCTGTATATGTGTACTGTGATTCCCGTGGTTGGCAATCCCTGGTCCGCGTGTGGCGCTTCGAATGACGTTCAAGTGGATGATACTTGAAGTAGTTGGGCTGCGGATTCAGGTGTGGTTTTCCCGCAACTTGTCCCGTTGGACACAGGTGTAGCCGTGTTGACTGGTACGGTGGTTGTGACACTCGTGTTGATCACACAGAGCCACGATACTGATCACAAAGAAAATCAGAACTGACAACACTGAAATACGGTCGGGGTCCGGTCACTGCGATCAACAGGGGATGCGTGAGCGGGGCACATAGACTATAGATACATAAGGTGTGCGTGCGTGCTTGTGTGTCGTATATGTACGTATGCACGTTTCCAAGGCCTCGTGTCTAATAGCTGACAAGTTGCACAGTTCCGTCTTATCAGTCAAAAGGTCATGCCGAAACTCAATGAAGGGCAGACAGGCTCAAGCGCACAGAAGCACAAACCCACGACGCATAAGCACACTCATTCATCCGTTGAGGCACAAGTAAGCATGCACTCACGCACGCACAAGCACGAAAACGCACCCACGCACAGACACACAAAGCAATCAAGTACTCACTCCCACCTTCTCTATTTTCTATTAGCACACAGCCAGAATCCATGGTAGAGTTTGTATGTCTGCTCTGTATTGTATTGAGTTCGCTGATTCACTGTCAGACTGCCGGCATTTAACCTTAGATTTTCATCGAACTGCCAATCGGTTATTGTCCATAGTTCCAATGAAAAAGATCAGTTACTGGCCTTGTGGTAGAGTGGTTGGGTAAATACAAAAAGGGATTCGTGCATGAAATGTGATTGGATTTGCTTCGATTTCCAGTAGCACTATTCTCGCACACACATACAGAGTTGTTTAAGTAGACCACAATCATTCAGATACATGTATTTGCGCGCGCTCACACATACGCGCACATCCACATGCATACAAGCGGAGAGATTTGTATAATGGTTCCACGCAAACAGACCGAGGCAGAACTCACTCATGAGCAAACTGTTTTTTAGCCTCCAACATTTGGGAATCTTTCATATCAGTTTCCTTAAACCAGATCGAATCGCACAATCTAGAATTTAGTCCAAAGAAAATAGAAGTTCACTATTTTTTTCGTTTTATTAAACTGATGGTTCGCCTGACTCGATTCCAGAGTTTTCTACCGAATAATTAACTACCCGGACCAGGGAGAGGGAGAGAGGGAGATAATGAGACACATTCTAAAATGAACTCATTTACGGGGCAATTCGTGAGGCTTGGTTTACCGTTGTGTCCGCTTCGAATTCATGAGGTCGACGACGGTGGAGTGATCAGGGCTTCAGCGTCCGACAGTTCTTGTGTTGGATTCTCACCCTCAGCTTACCCTCAGCTGAATGGGTGGCATCCGACTAGCCCAACACGGGAGAAACAGTTTCCTCATGACTGGAAAACCACCCCACCTCGATTACTCACTCCCCTGTCGAAAGAACAGAAAAGGTGACAAGAAGGGATCGGGTTGTCTTAACGGTCCCAACTTGGTAGAAGGCTTTCGATTTGAGTTAACATATAGTCAACTGTCTCTTCGTTCGTTGCTATCAGGCTAAATTGAACTGATTGACTATCTCTGAATACGACACCTGAACAAACATGAATTAGCCATTCGGTTCAGCCCTGGCATGAGCTGGTTGGCACAGTGATAACACACACGCCTTCCATGCAATGAGTCTGGAGTTCAAATCCCGGACATGATGGTGGATATGCACTGCTGATGAGCTCTAATAAGAGCAAAACTCGAGCTCAGTGCTTTCGAGTATATGGTTGACTGGAAGAAGAATGTGCGTGAAGTTGAGGTCTGAAGGATGGTGAGGTCTAATCAATCTGTCAATAATCGACAACTGTGTTTGCATCATAGCTTCCTGTAGTTTGTTGTAAACGCTAAGATACCCATACCCGCTCTTCGTACAACTGTACCGTTTACGACAAGTCACTCCATGGCTCTGTAGTAAACTCTTACTCGTTTCAGCGATTGTAAGCCACCAAGTTATTTATCATAATCGTAGGTGATCCACAGTGATGAGACAAATGCACAAAAGGGGACCAAACAGTGCACGTTGAGTTTTTATGTTGCGGGAAACTAACAATCCGAACACTTGAGTTCAAACCAAATCGGGAACGGTACACCAGAATTGCAAGCGAAAACAAAGTTTCGATTGACAATCGATATGTTCCAACTTCCTTGCAGAGTTACATTATTTTCCAAAGTAAACCCCAAGAACACTTGCCCCATAACTCTTACTCAGTTATTGTAGATGTGGCCAAACATTTAGATCTTACCAGACAACAGTCTGCCCGAGGCAAGCACAGTGGAGAGAATTCTGTTAATGCTCTATTTGTCTGATAGTCAAAATGAAGCACTGGACACAGTGCTGATGAGTCCGATCGAGAATCAGACAGTTGTCCAGTAGTGGAATTTTGAGAACCAGCAGTTAAATTTACTACTATAATAACTCGTCAGAAGTTAGTATGGACTCCGGAATAGTACAACTCTGATGTGTATCATTTCGCTGGGGGTTAAAACAAGAATTTATCGGACTAAAACAATTCTAATATCATTGAGTGGTAAATTTCCGGTTTCTTTCCAAGTGGTTAAAAATTCAATCCCACTGAAGACATCGTCTTTTGTTAGGGATGATTTATGGCATCTGAATGCTGGCGTTCGATTTTCAAGTGGTTCCATAGCTGGTTCAGATTGTGAATTTGTTGGTATGGAATGGTATGTTGGTTGGAATGCGCGAATAGGAGCGGGGCTTTTGGAAAGTGTGCATTGTTTGGAATGGTAATATCCTGATCAGTGACACACTGAATTGCTTTTTTGATCACACACATTGTGCAGTGATGAAACCGCAAACGGTACGATTTCCTACCCTTTGTTCTAAACAAGTCCATCTTCTTCTGTTTCACCCAGAAAGTTCTACCTCGACAAGAAGCGCGAATCACTATGAAAGCGAAATCACTGTCACGGATCCGTAACCCATCTCCAATCTCAGTATCCTATGGTGATCGTTACTCACGGGATGACGCGAACCTCGGGGAGAGACGTTACGGCGCCTGGACCACGAACTACAGGCCGATTATGCGGAGCAATCAAAAGCCGTGTGGCACAGACAGAAGCTGTAAGATGCCAGGAATACAAGCACGCGATTTGTGGATGCATGGATAATCAATAAAATTCCTTTTTTGATCATGAATGTGTGTAAATGAGGCGTGAGCCGATCAGCTGCCCTGTGGCCGAGTGGGTAGTATGCTCGTTTTCTATCCGTGACGTCCCGGGTTCGATCCCCAGTTGAGTGGATAGATTCGCACCACTGATAAGACCCAACCAGGTCGAAACGGCAGTCCAGCGCTTCCCAGGTTTGAGTTGACTCAGGCCTCATTTACATGACGAATTCATCATCAAAACAAATCAAATCCTCCAATTCTCCCATCAAACTTCTTTTCTACATGATATTTAATCCCTTGGGTTTCTTCCAATAAGTGAACTGCTACTTCTGTTGCCTTTTCCTTGCTTCTTGGTTTCGTAGGATGCCCTCGTGCAAGTACCAATGTGATTCAGTGCTTCCGTGGTGTCCGTGATTCTTAATACGTCGTGATTCGTAGGCTGTGATCGGTGCGTACTACAGGTATTACAGATCCACTAGTCGAGTATTATGGTATTG